AGCATTTGTTTTCAATTCATGTGCCAGCTAAATGTTCCGGGAAAGAGTGTGTGCTCATTAAATGAATAAAGAACTACTAGGTATGCCAGAGTGCTATCTGATAAAAAATACAGAAATTATGAGAGACCCTGGCCCTTGGAAGAAAAATGTACTATTTTGTTACTTTTATTTTATTATTTGGAGTTGTATATTTAGCTTTTAAAACTTGTGGAGGAGCCTCTGAGTTACTAAAAAATATACTTGGATTTGTGTGACAAACACTGTCCTGACTTGCTGTGTCATAAAAGGAAAGACCAAATGAAAACGTTGCCAGTTTTTAATCTCGAACTGGGTCCTTTCTCCTATAATATCATGGACCCAATAACAGAATCTAGATCCTATTGAGGCAAGGATTTTGGAGAAATAACTGGTAGATCAGGCTATCACCCGAACAACGGATTTGAAGCTAAATGGCTAAAGGGGAAGACACTGAGGATGAGTGGGAACATTATTCACCAAGTGGTAGAGTCCATCTTGAAAATGGGAGAGCCCTGTCCTTTAATCTTCAAGAGTTGGTTTGTGTCTGAGTTGGAAGCAGGATGGAACAAGATTATACGGCTGGGCAGGGATTTTACTAGGGTAGTGTATGACAATGAGATGGTAATGAGTCTGGGGGTGAATAGCAGGTCAGCCCAGTGTCTTCTCCCATGAAACCTGTTTTACCTGGTGCATTTCTACATCCTGCTTTGCCCAGAACAGCCAAGATGCTGGATGCTGTTTGTCATGGCTGCATAAGAAGGTATGGTGTCTGAAACAGAGTCTTGTTAACAGAAAGGATTCTTTCTCAGGGTTTGAGGGGTGTTGGCTTGGTAACAAATAGAAATATCAGCATAAGGACTGTGCACTGAGGTGCCCTAGGACAAAAGTAAAATCAAGAGACTTTAGATTAGTTTTGACAAGAGGAACTTGACACACTTTAGGTGCATGCCCAGGAGGGTATAGGTGGGTCACATAGAAGTTATTACTTTAATTTTTAGACTTGCATACCATTTCCATAATGTCTGTGCTAGTTTTTATGTGGAGATGTGTTTTCTCTAGGACTTTTTCATGATAGCATGTTGGATTTTACTAAATGCTTTTTTGATGTCTATTGAGATAATTCTGTGGTTTGGGTTTGTAAGTTCATTTATGTGTTTTATTTCACTTAGTGACTTGTGTGTGTGTTGAATCATTCCTAATTCTCACAGATAAAACCAACTTGGTCACAGTAGATAATCTCTTTTGATGTATTCCTGTACCCTGCTTCATGTGTTTTATTGAGTATTTTTGAGTCTATGCTCATCAGGGATAGTGTTCAGTAGCTTCCTCTTTTTGTTGTTACTCTTTTTTTGAGTATTAGAGTGATACTGGCTTAGTAGAAGGAGTTTGTAACAGTGAATCGATACTCAGTGAGTCTTCCATTTCAGGTATGCAAGACAAGTAACTCTAAGAGATCTGCTGTGTAGCATTGTGACCTCAGTGTGTGACACAGCGACAGCATATTTTACATTTAAAGATCGATTGCACATGTAGATCTCATATCAAATGGCTTTACCACAGAATAATTAAGACAGACAATATGGAATGAAATAGAGTGCATGATTTATTAAGACTTTGTAAAGGCTGCATTCATTTAGGAGACAGCTCAAAGTGATCAGGAAGAAGAAATCAGCGCAAGACTGTGGAGTGTGCTGTGGAATGAAGTGTGATTATTAAGATGCATGCAAGTATGGCATTTTTAATGAACACGTTCTCAGAAGTTACTTAGAGGAAGCCATGAAGCCCTTGGCGTAGAATTTAAGTGGAAGCGAGACTTCTACACGAGATGGCATGAGATCTGCAAAACGAGGAAGAGAGTGAAAGTAAGAACTCTGCGTTCACTCAAGGAAACTAATGTTTAAACAAGAATTTTATGTTTGACAGAATTTTGGGGGTTAGCCAAGAGGCGTTTAGCACAAGTAAGAAGTGAGTTTAATGTAAGTTGTGCGGATATTTGTCTCTTGAGGAATTGGTCGGCAGCAGCGGGGCTGGCAACAGTTGGTCACACAGTAGCTGGGCTGGCAGCAGGGCTCACCACAGCAGCTGGTCACACAAGCTGGTTTAGAACAGGTGGTCTTATAGCAAGTGGTTTCATAGCAAGTTGATTGACAGGATGTGATGCAGCAGCTGGGGAGGCGACACAGCTGGCAGCAGCTGGTCTCACCTGTTGGTTTGCAGCAGGTGGTCTTGTAACACGTGGTTTCACAGCAAGCTGGTTGGCATCAGGGCTGCTAGAAGCTGCAGATGGCCTTAATTTGGCCATAGCAGCTGGACCTACAACAGCTGGGCTGGCAGCAGCTGGTCACACAGGTTGGTCTCTAGCAGGTAGTCCTGCAGCAGGTGGTTCTTTAGTAGCCAGGCTAACAGCAAGGAGAGCCGTGGAAGTTGGTCATGGTTCCAGATGTAGAGGGTAGCGTTCTGTTTACAGGTGAGCTTTCTAGAATACCATGCCTTCATTTTAGTTGGGTCTTTTATACATCAGCTCACCTAGGTTTGAACCAATCAGTTTTCCTCGTTTTTTACATTATTTTTCATTTCCAAAGTTTGTTTATCAAGGAAGAAACTGTTCCTTAATAGGAATCTCTTTAAAGTACTTAATTTAATCAGTCCCATACTGGATTCCCAGGCATCAGTCTGGGATCCAAGAGCTAACCCTTGTCAGGTCAGCTGTTTCTGGGGGTTAAACCAGCCCAGTCTTAATCCCTTTGGTCATCAGTCCTCCGTGATCAAGACCCCCTGAATGTGGGTGTCAGTGAGGAGGCCTAGGTAATCTATTGAGACTTGGGTAGTAGATCAGTATTTATCCGGGTATACAAATGAACTTTGGACTCCCATCCAACAATGAGAGATGCACTCACACCCTGAACACTTCGGGGAGGGTTTAGGCCCTGCCCTGGATGAAATGACAGACTATGGGCACCCCCATGGAGGGCCTCACCCTCCCTGGGGAAATGAGTGGATATTGGGGGGTTGGTGGGAGGGCACGGGAGGAGGGGAGGGAAAGGGAGAGGGACCTGGAATTGGCATGTGAAGCAACCTTGTTTCTAATTTAAATTTAAAAATAAAAATATATATGTATATATAAATTACTTAATTTATTTCTTATTTGGGAATGACTCACAGGAACTTTTTCAGATAAAGGCAGGAGTCACACCATCAGCTTTATCATAGCTCTGGGATTATATGGAAATGTGTTTGTTCCTCAGGGAAGACAGGGTGGGGAGAGTTGGCTTCTGCAGCTTTCCTCCTTTGCTTGGACTTTAGTTAGTAAGTACACGTGGAGAGGGATGAGATGGTGCTATGCTCACATCAATTAGCGGAATGCCCATATCAGTGTCTAGTCTACAAAAACAGGCATCTGTGCTGGTACCAGCTCTATAGTGTCCCAGATGTGTCAAATACACTTGGGAAGATGGTGTTTGGTGGCTGTGTACCTACGCATTGGTTTCCTCTATCCTACTGGTCTACCTGTCAATCTTTGTTCCTATACAAATGATTTAAATCACTTTTGCTCTGTAGTATATTTTGAGGCCATGTATTTTGATACCTCTCCTAATATTTTTCCTTTGTAGGATTGCTTTGGATATGTGTACTCTTTTGTGTGCCACATAAAGTTTATTACTTTGGGGAGGGGGATTTTGTGAAGAATGTTACTGGAATTTTTATGGGAATAGGGTTCAGCATATAAATATTTTTAAACATTATGGTCATTTTAAATATTTACTTGCCAAGCAGAAACACGGAAGCTTTCTGCATCATTTGATATCATCTTTAATTTAGTTTTTCAGTATTTTAAATTTTCATCACACTGGTCTTTCACATCCTTTGTGAAGTTCATTTATAAGAACTTCAGGTCCAGTGTGTGTGTGTGTGTGTGTGTGTGTGTGTGTGTGTGTGTGTGTGTGTGCGCGCGCACGCGCGCGAGTGTGTTCTACAGTACTGTCCTCTGAGATAAACAACCACCATCTTGGAGCATTCAGGTTTGGCCCTTAGTAAAAGATCATCCCAGCTGGGATTGGTTGCTGTTTACATCCCTCACAGAGAGGTGGGAGGGTCAGGAGCCCCTCACCGGGTATTCAGCTATTCTCTACTACCATTTGTATGCAACTATGCTCTAACTGTGGGTGGTCTTGGGGAGGGGCTAGAGTATCTAGACCAGAGATAACTAGGAATGTGTCTCCAGCAATGCATCTATAGGAAAGTCCTTATGCCTGCCAGGTAAAGACCTTCTAGTGTAGCCTTTTCAAGGAACCCCTCATCTGTGCTCTGTAATGAAGCCCAATAAACTCATTGGTTCCTCAGAGTCACCTTTGGTGAAATAATGTTGTGGTGTGTTGGTGGGACCTTAGGAAGAATAGATGCTGTTTATGTCTCCTGTTGGAAGGAATTTTAACAACTGTGTATGTGTGTGTGTGCAAGACAGAGAGGGGGAAGAGAAGAGGGAGAGGGAAGTAGAGGGAGGGGGAGACTGTATTATATTGCACAGTAAAAAAGTCTTTTGAGCATATGGATGTACTATCAGATGATTTATCAAAGTGTAATAATGACAGACAATATGGAATGAATAATAGTCTAGAATTTATTGTTTCCATACATTTTTGATCATTTTAATTAAGGTATCTTTTTCAGCTGTTCAGAGGGAAATATAAAGATCAGGGCTCAGAAGAAAGTTGCAGACTGGGCTCCATACAGAGAGAAAATGAGAGTGAGGAGGAATGGACTTGCATTCCATCAAGGTGACTGGTAGCCTTCCAAAGTGGTGACAGCCCCAGAGTAAGATGGGAGCTCGTGACCACATGGCAAGATTTGTGTGACACAAGTAGAGTTGTCTGAGCATTGTTCAGTTGGCAAGTTGATCAGAAGTAGTCCTGGCAGCAGCTGGTCTAACAGCAGCAGGGCTGGAATCACCAGCTGGTCACCTAAGTTGGTGTACAGGAGGGGGTCTAGCAGCAGGTGTTTTCACAGCAGGTTGGGCAGCAGCATGGCTGGCAGCAGCTGGACTCACAGCAGCTAGGTTGGCAGTAGGGTGTGTAGCAGCAGCAGCTGGTCACACAGGTTGGCTTACAGCAGGTGGTTTCAAAGCAGCTGGGTTGGCAGCATGGCTGGCAGCAGCTGGTCATACAGGTTGGCTTACAGCAGGTGGTCCTGCAGCAGGTGGTTTCACAGCAGCTGGGTTGGCAGCAGGGCTGGCAGCAGCTGCTCACACAGGTTGGCTTACAACAGGTGGTCCTACAGCAGGTAGTTTCACAGCAGCTGGGCTGGCAGCAGGGTTGGCAGCAGCTGGTCACACATGTTGGCTTGCAGCAGGTTGTTCTACAGCTGGTGGTTTCACAGCAGCTGGGTTTGCAGCATGGCTGGCAGCAGCTGCTTACACAGGTTGGCTTACAGCAAATGGTCCTACAGCAGGTGGTTTCATTGCAGCTGGGTTGACAGCAGGGCTGGCAGCAGCTGGTCACACAAGTTGGCTTACACCAGGTTGTTTCACAGCAGCTGGGTTGGCAGCAGCTGGTCACATATGTTGGCTTGCAGCAGGTGGTCCTGCAGCAGGTGGTCCCACAGCAAGTAGGCTGGCAGCAAGGGGAGCAGCAGGAGTTGGTCATGGTGTCAGGTGTGGTTGGAAGTTTCTCCTTGTTAACAGGTGAGTTTTCTACAATATGGTGAGTTCTTGTGCCTTGGACCTTTTATATGTCAGACCTTTAAGGTTTGAACCAATCAGCAGGGCTCTTCCTTGTTGTTGTTTCCACCATTTTCCATATTCATTTTATGTTTCATAAGGAAGTGCTTCTCAATGCTATGCGTCATTGGAAAGTTTACTCTGATTCTTCTTCCATAATCACTCATAGGAAGTCTTTCAATGAAGAGAAGGGTATGGCACTACCAGTGTCTCTGTGTCCTTGGTCATCATCTGGTCATGGGGTAGCCCTTGCTGTCTTTGGAGAGTGAGAGTATTTGTTTGTCTCCATTTTGTCTCTTCTTTGTAGGCAGACTTTTCATTGGTCTGCCAAATCACAATAAACGACATAAACACTTATTAATTATGAAATCTTGACAATATTTGAGGCTCGATTCGAACTATGTTTTTAACTTAAATTAAAGGCTCATGGCTTTAACCTCTCCTCCCTCATGGCCTGCTTTCTCTATGTCAGGCTGGCTATACTGCCTTTCTTCTTTCCAGAGATATCTTAGTCCCCAAAAGTCCTGCCTAACCTCTTCCTGCCTAGCATTTGGCCATTCAAACTGTTAAACCAACCACAGTGATACATCTTCACACAGTGTAAGGGAATATTCAGCAATGGTTCTCAGCTTATGAAGTATTTGCACGATGGTGTTACATTCACAATTCTGGATTGGTTCGGTGTCTGTCCTTTTACACACAATGTCCTCACTTCGGGTTAGCCCAGACATGTATGTGGGTTTTTTCTCTTTTTTTTTTTCTTTATTTATGTTTTTACACATGTTGCTCTCAGTTTCCTCTCCCTCCTCTCCTCCCCCTGATGACTGAGAGGAAACCCTCACCCCCTCATCCTGGGTGTCAGAGAAGAGGCCTCGGCAATCTATGGGACCTTGGAGAGTAGAGCATGACTTATTCCCAGCATACAAATAGACTCTGGGAGCCTATTCCATGTGGAGGGATGCTCTCTCAGCCTCGGCACGTGGGAGAGGACCGAGGCCCTGCCCAGGATGATATGACAGACTCTGAAAATCCCTTATAGAAGCTCTTACCCTCCCTGGGGAGCAGAGGGGGGATGTAGTGGGATGGGGGACTGGGAGGATTGGGGGGGCTGGGGAAGGACATGTGTTTCTTTACCTGCTCCTCCACCCATGTGTCTCCAAGGCAGTTGGGATAAAGATATCTGGATTATTATGTTTCTTATCATGCAACACTGCAGGACAAATGTGGAAGTGAAAATACATTAGAGTGAGAGGGTATCAAAGTATGTGTGTGTGTGTGTGTCTATTGGTCCTGAATTCCCCTTTCTTGAAGGGTTCTCCAGGGAGATCATGTTGAGAGTTGTGCCGTATAACAATTCAACCTAGACAAAACTTAGCATGCAGTTAACTGCTGATGGATGGCAGATTCAGTGCTCTTTCTCTGTCTTTCATCTTTTTCTTTCACCTGCCTACCTGTCCTTCTGTCTTACTATCGCATTTTGCCATCCCTTCTTTATTATCTTCCTTTGTTGCTTTTTTGTGTGCAGTGATGGAGTTTAGATAAGTTGAAATTATTCCTAATCATGTAAATATATTTAGAATTGGTATGGTCTACTACACATTTAGGAAGGGAATAAATAACATTATGATGGAAAGAATATGGCAAAGTGAACGTGTCTGTGCTGTTATTAACCAGGTAAGAAATAAACATTCATCCATTTTTTAAACTCACATCTTCTCATTGTTTTTTAAGGAGAGACTCTCACCCTATATCAACTTCATTTTTAGCCAATGATGCCACATTTGGCTTCTTTGCCTCCTTGCAAATGATAAGTATAATTGTATTCTCCATTTAGCTTATGGTTGTGAAGTCTCTCACTGTAATGATCTATTTTTTCTTCTTCTTACTGGTCAGAATTCTCCCCTTAAATTAATTTGACACAAATCATGTGTGGGTTTTCCTTCTAGAAAAATGCAGCTTGTTTGCAGCTTGAGTAACTTAAACTTGATGATGTGATACAAAATTTAGGTGGCACTTTTGGGAAGTAGAGATGATCATGTCTTTTGAGTGTGTAGTTATGTGGGTAATTGATTATAGAATTCCTTTTTGAAATGTTTATTTCTTTGTCTATTTTTAGCCATACTTCATGCATAGTAATAGAGTTTACATATTAAATAAAACCATAGTAGAATGTCCTGACATTGTTTTAAGCAAAAAGGAAAGGAAGGAAGGAAGGAAAGAAGAAAATGACTTCAGGTTTCAGAGCCCTTCACACCCTCTGAACACATTTATGACAATGTCACTTCTTCTAAATGGGCCAATGTGACAAATGTCTGACCTATAGCTGACTAGATTGTTCTTAGACATTTAATCTTTCTGTTACTGTAGGTGTTGTAATTGAAAATCTCACATCTACTGCTTCTGAAATGTAGAAATGTGAATTTTATTAACATATATTTATTTTACAAAATAATATATTGCATTGTGCCAATTTCCTACCTGTGCACAGCATACTCTGACCACATTCACCCTCGACATAATGACCTCTGTTACAGTCACTGCTGCCTGACTCAGGTCTATTTTTCTCCCCTGTTATGATCATGTGAGTTTTTCTTCTAATTTCCATATCCAATACTTGCCACATCAAGTCTTGTTTATTTCACCTAATATGGCAACCCCATTTCCATTATTTGCATGCAAATCAAGTTATTCCTTGAGGCTGAATGAATTCAGTCCTTTATACATTACATACTTTATCTATTCATTAAATCGGTTGATTGGCTCTTTGGCTGATTGTATAACCTGTTTATAAATGGAGGCAGACATTTCTCCATTTTTATCAACTTTGGTTTCTTTAGGTCCATGTAGCTGGATCATGGAACAGTTTTATTTTTATCTTTTTGAGGAAATTCCAAACTGATTTCCATAGGTATTATGCCAATTAACATTCTTAATAACACTGAAAAGAGTTCTTTTTTCTCCCTGTATCCTAAATATGTTTTGTTTGTTTCCTTGATGGCACCTTTCTGATTGGGATGAGATGGAATTTCATAGTCTATTGATTTGCATTTCTCTGATGACTACATCTATTAATTACTTTTCATGAATTTCTGGACATTTGTACCATTTTTTTAAATATTCAGAACATTACCCCACTTATGGATTGTGTTGTTCTCAGCTTTGCTGTTAATTTTTTATCTCACTATATATTCTGCATAATGAGTCCTCTGGATGAGTATCTGGGAAGTGGTTTTCTTCTGTGTTTCCATTCTGTTGACTGTCTTTTCTGTGTTCATTGTTGCCTTTTTTTGTGAAGAAGCGATTTAATTTGATGCAGTTACATCTGTCATTTCTTGTCGTTATTGTCTGATCTATTGAAGCACTGTTGAGAGTTTTACTGCCCATGCCCATGTCCTGTTGTGTTTTCTTCATGGAAGTTTTTTGCACCTTTTGATATATTCTTTAATTTTGTCTTTCACTATGTTAAAGTTTCCTTTGCTCTGTCTTTCACATCCCTGGTCAAGTTCATTTATGAGAATGTTGAGTGTTAAAAAAAACGAATGTAGACTGTGGACAGCTATCATGAATGGAAGGTCTTTCCTCACTTCCTTCACAGGGGGTTCATTATTGCTATGGAAGCTGTTGATTGCTGTATGCTGGTTTTGGGTTTTGAAATTTACAATGCTTGCTAAACATAAGAGTTTTCTAGTAGAGCCTGTAAAACCTTTTAATTACAGAATCATATAGCACACGAATAGACATAATTTTACTTCCTCCTCTCATGTTATCCCTTATATATGGTCTTGTTTCTCTGACTAAGGCTAAGCACACTATAGAACAAGAGTGGTGATAGTGTAGACCCTTGTCTCAGTCCAGATTTAAGAAAGAGGAAATGTTCTTTAAACAATAGCAATTGGGAGACTTCTGTGCTGCAATCTCAGATTTTAGCACAATATCAAAGATTGCCAAAGTAAACCTCAGCAAAGAACTTTAGGGTTAAATTCTGCAATATGTCAACTGGACCTAATAGATATATAGAGACCATTCCATCCAACACATAAGGAATGCACATTCTTTTCAACAGCACATGGAATCTTTCACAAAGAGTGATAACACCATAGGCCACCAAGCATGCCTTAGCAGGTACAAAAAAGGAGCCAATATCCTACCAAACTGCAGGGAAATAAAAGTAGAAACCAAGAGCAAGAGTGTGTATAGAAACTATATGGATTCTTAGAGATGAAGAGGATGCGTTAGAGTGAACAAGCATGTCATTGATGAAATAAGAAAGACGTTAAAATTTCTAGACAAAATTAGTATCAATGGACAGGATATAAGCTCCTCTGGGGAACTCTTATAGCATTCATAAAAGTTTACATCTCTAAGGTTTTCTTCCCACACAAAAAACCCCAGAGAAGTCTCAAATAAATAACCTAACGATGCACCTGAACACTCTAGAAAAAACAATCATCAGGTAATCTAAAACATAGTAGATGGAAAGAAATAAAAAAAATATGGCTGGAAGAATGAAATAGAGACCAAAAGAACAATATATGCAACCAAACAACAATAAGCTTGTTCTTTCACAAGCTTCACAAGATTGATGGAGGAAATAGAGAAAGTACAGTAGATCCCAGTGAAATTCAGATCATTAGGAAATAGTGCAATAATTAGTTTCCCAAAGCTGGACAACTTAGATAAAATGAATAGTTTTCTAAATATTTATGACCTATCTAAAATAAAGTCAGAACAGATCCATAATTAACAATGAGATTGATACAGTCATTAAATATCTTCTCACAAAGAGAAGCACAGAACATTGTCTCTGTTGAATTATATCAAAATTTAATAACAATGCTTTTCAAACAGTTTTGTGAACTAAAAAGGGGAAGGAGCAGTACTAAATTAGTTCTCCAAAGCCAGTATCATCCTGACGCCAAACCCAGAGAGTTATGATGAAAAAGAAAATGATAGATCTATTTTCCAGGATCCCTCCCCACAAACTTAACTCTAGAACACACTGCAAAGGTCATACATATATCAAGAATAAGCAGGCTTAGCCATGCAAGGTGGCACAAGCCTTTATTCCCTGTATTTGGAAGGCAGAGACAGGTGGATGAGTGTGAGTTTTAGGTCAGCCTGGTCTACATAGTTAGACCCTGTCTCTAAAACAACATCACCAATATCCATAATAACCAAGACCAAGTAGATTTCATCCAAGGACTGCAAGATTGGTTCAACATGCAAATGAATAAATGTAATTTATCATATAACTAATCTTAAGGATAGAAATCCCATGATCATAGAGAGAAGGTACAAAAAGGCATTTTATAAAATTCAACAGGTTTTTATGATAGAAATCCTAGAGGTATTTAAATAGTTGGGCCCTATTCTAAAAACCATAAACATATAGCTTATTTTACATTAGATGGGAAAATTTCGAAACATACTTCAGCATCCCTCCCTCCCTCCATCCCTACCTCCCTCCCTCTCTCCCTTCTCCTTCCCTTCATTTTTTCTCCCCCACTCACACTTGGAGGCAGCCTTCATCTTCCCAATGTTGGTGCACTCTTTGGTCTCTTCTCATCCATCAAAATATTTGCATTTATTCATGTCTTCATGCGTATCGCACTATGAGTACCTAATCCCCACTCAATGTTGATTGACGAGAAACATCCCTTGAAGTTCTGCAAGCAATTTTCTCTTTTGTAGAGGTAAGGAGAAGAAGGGAAAAGTGACTGGTAAATTAGTCCTCATCCAAACAAAGAATGAGGTCCCTGTGAGAATAAATGAATAAAGAGGAGTTTGGAGAGTGAGCTTTTGTTGTTTTTCTTCAAGATTATTATCACTCATTTACTTTTTTCTTTCATAAAACTCAGTGAGATACAAAATCATGATTTGTTAATGCTATTTTTTAATTTAATGCCCACTGAAACCATTTAGTCTTGATTGCATGTGCATGAGTGAGATCATGTACATGGGCGCCTCAGAGCCCTCATCCCTGAAGAAAATCAACTTTCTTTTTCTCCAAGATATGCTTACAATAGCCAACCAAAACCTCATGATGTGTGCAGGAGGGTCTCATGGGATTAAATCTTAAGGGAGATGATAAGCTAATCAGACTGTGAACTTTGCAAGTAACATGGTCCACCTTGTGGAGTTTGCTCATCTAGGTATGTTCAATGAGCTGAGAAGCCTACATCCCAGGCCTTGAGTTTAGCATTAGTCTTGACGTTTTTAAGCCTGAAAAGCAGAAACCCACTATTCTGTTTAGACTACTGGCATGGGGTCCACCTACACCGTTTGGTTTAGACACATGTATGGGTGTCACAACTGTGGCTCCAGTCAGTTTCATGAATGTTCATTTGAAAGTCTTGAATTGCATGATTTTGTGGGTTTTCTTGGTCAAGAGAGTAGCAAATCATTTTCACAGGTCACCTCAAGTCGTTTACAGGAAGAGATGAAATTGTACCACTTCTATGTTTATGCCAACCCTACTAACAACAGCCAAGTTATGTGAGCAACCCAAACACACATCGATTGTAAATGGATGGAAAAATCATAACAGACAGACTAGTGCTCTGTGACTCCACTCAAATGAGGTTTCTGGATGTCAGAGTTAGGGGAGAAAAAAGCAGGCAGGTTATTTCCAGGGTACAGAGTAAGGACCATGGGGAGCTGGTAACCATTGTCTGTAAATTTACAATTGTTTCAAAGATCTGATGGATGGCATTGGGTCCGCTACTGTGTGTGTGTGTGTGTGTGTGTGTGTGTGTTGTACTGCAATGTCCTCTGACCCAAAGAAGTGCTACTTAAAAGTATTCAGCTATGGCCCTTTGTAAAAGACCATCCTAACTGGACTTGGTTACTGTTATCATCCTTCACAGAGAGGTGAGGGTCCAGGAGTCCCTCACTTAAGCATCTTGATTATTCCTATCACCAGTTGTATGCAACTCTTCTCTAACTGTGGGTGATCTTGAGAAGGGGCTAGAGTATCTAGACCAAGGTTAACTAGGTTTGGGGCTCCATCTAAGCAGGAAAGTCCTCATCCCTGCTAGGTAAAGACATTCCAGTGTAGCCTTTCCAGGGAAGCACACTCACACTCCTCTAAGCAGCCCCTCATCTGTGCTCTGTAAGGAAGACCAATAAATTCTATGGCTCCTCAGAGTCAACTTTGGTGGAATCCTTCTTTGATGGGTACTTAGGAGGAGTAGATGCTATTTATGTCTCTAGCTGGGAAGGAATTTTAACAACAGTGTGTGTGTGTGTGTGTGTGTGTGAGAGAGAGAGAGAGAGAGAGAGAGAGAGAGAGAGAGAGAGAGAGTGTGAGAGAGAGACAGAGAGACAGAGACCGAGACAGAGGGAGAGAGACTTTATTATTTTTCACAATAGGTTTTTGAGCATGTGGATCTACTATCAAGTGATTTATCAAACTATAATAATGACAGAAAATGTGGAATGAAAAATAGACCAAAATTTATTGTTTCCATACATTTTTTGATAATTTAAATTAAAGTGTGTTTCTCAGTTATTTAGAGGGAAAGATAAAGATATGGACTCAGAAGAAAGTTGCAGACTGGGCTCCATACACAGAGAAAATGAGAGTGAGGGGGAATGGACTTGCATTCCATCAAGGTAAGATGGGCCTCAGAGTAAGATGGGAGCTTATGCTCATATGGCAAGATGTGTGTGACACAAGTACAGTTGATGGGCATTTTTCAGTTGGCAAGTTGATCAGAAGTAGTCCTGGCAGCAGCTGGTCTAACAGCAGCAGGGCTGGAATCACCAGCTGGTCACCTAAGTTGGTGTACAGGAGGGGGTCTAGCAGCAGGTGTTTTCACAGCAGGTTGGGCAGCAGCATGGCTGGCAGCAGCTGGACTCACAGCAGCTAGGTTGGCAGTAGGGTGTGTAGCAGCAGCAGCTGCTCACACATGTTGGCTTGCAGCAGGTGGTCTTGCAGCAGGTGGTTTCACAGCAGCTGGGCTGGCAACATGGCTGGCAGCAGCTGGTCACACAGGTTGGCTTACAGCAGGTGGTCCTGCAGCAGGTGGTTTCACAGCAGCTGGGCTTGCAGCAGGGCTGGAAGCAGCTGGTAACACAGGTTGGCTTACAGCAGGTGGTCCTGCAGCAGGTGGTTTCACAGCAGCTGGGCTTGCAGCAGGGCTGGAAGCAGCTGGTAACATAGGTTGGCTTACAGCACGTGGTCCTGCAGCAGGTGGTTTCACAGCAGCTGGGCTGGCAGCATGGCTGGCAGCAGCTGGTCACACAGGTTGGCTTACAGCAGGTGGTCCTGCAGCAGGTGGTTTCACAGCACCTGGGTTGGCAGTAGCTGGTCACATATGTTGGCTTACAGCAGGTGGTCCTGCAGCAGGTGGTCCTGCAGCAGTTGGTTTCACAGCAGCTGGGTTTGCAGCATGGCTGGCAGCAGCTGGTAACACAGGTTGGCTTACAGCACGTGGTCCTGCAGCAGGTGGTTTCACAGCAGCTGGGCTGGCAGCATGGCTGGCAGCAGCTGGTCACACAGGTTGGCTTACAGCAGGTGGTCCTGCAGCAGGTTGTTTCACAGCAGCTGGGTTGGCAGCAGGGCTGCCAGCAGCTGGTCACACAAGTTGGCTTACACCAGGTTGTTTCACAGCAGCTGGGTTGGCAGCAGCTGGTCACATATGTTGGCTTGCAGCAGGTGGTCCTGCAGCAGGTGGTCCCACAGCAAGTAGGCTGGCAGCAAGGGGAGCAGCAGGAGTTGGTCATGGTGTCAGGTGTGGTTGGAAGTTTCTCCTTGTTAACAGGTGAGTTTTCTACAATATGGTGAGTTCTTGTGTCCTGGACCTTTTATATGTCAGGCCTTTAAGGTTTGAACCAATCAGCAGGGCTCTTCCTTGTTGTTGTTTCCACCATTTTCCATATTCATTTTATGTTTCATAAGGAAGTGCTTCTCAATGCTATGCGTCATTGGAAAGTTTACTCTGATTCTTCTTCCATAATCACTCATAGGAAGTCTTTCAATGAAGAGAAGGGTATGGCACTACCAGTGTCTCTGTGTCCTTGGTCATCATCTGGTCATGGGGTAGCCCTTGCTGTCTTTGGAGAGTGAGAGTATTTGTTTGTCTGCATTTTGTCTCTCCTTTGTAGGCAGACTTTTCATTGGTCTGCCAAATCATAATAAATGACATAAACACTTATTAATTATGAAATCTTGAAAATATTTGAGGCTCGATTCGAACTATGTTTTTAACTTAAATTTGCCTATTTCTGTTAATCTACCTGCTGTCACATGGCTCACAGCTTTAACCTCTCCTCCCTCATGGCCTGCTTTCTCTATGTCAGGCTGGCTATACTGCCTTTCTTCTTTCCAGAGATATCTTAGTCCCCAAAAGTCCTGCCTAACCTCTTCCTGCCTAGCTATAGGCCATTCTATTTTTTATTTGTTTTTTGTTTTTTGAGACAGGGTTTCTCTGTATTGTTTTGGAGGCTGTCCTGGAACTTGGTCTGTAGTCAAGGCTGGCCTTGAACTCACAGAGATCTGCCTGCCTCTGCCTCCCTAGTGTTGGGATTAAAGGCGTGCACCACCAACACCTGACTAGGCCATTCAAATCTTATTTAACCAACGACAGTGATGCATCTTCAGACAGTGTAAAGGAATATTCTGCAAAAGTCCCCAACTTATGAAGTATCTGTACAATGGGGTTCTGAACTGGTATACACAAATTCCTCACTTCAGGTTAGCACAGACATGTTTCTTTAACAGCTCCTTCACCCATGTGTCTCAAAGGCACTTGTAATAAAGATATCTGACTTATTATGTTCCATATCATGCAACAATAGAGGAAAATGTGGAAGTGGAAACACATTAGAGTGAGAGGATATCAAAGTGTGTGTGTGTGTGTGTGTGTGTGTGTGTGTGTGTGTGTGTGTGTGTGTATGTCTGTGTGTGCCTACTGGTCCTGATTTACCATTTCCTCACCAAGGAGACCATTTTGAGATTTCTGTCATATAACAATTCTACCTAGGCAAACCTTAGCATTCAGTTAACTGCTGATGGATGGCAGATTCAGTGATCATAGTTAGTTTTCTTTCTGTCTTTTATCTTTTTCCTTTTGCTGGCCTACCCATCCATCCATCTTACTATCTCATTTTGTCATCCCTTCTTTATTATCTTCCTTTGTTGCTTTTCTTTGTGTGCAGTGATGGAGTTTAGACAAGTTGAAATGGTTCCCAATGATGCAAATATATTTAAATGTATAAGGTCTGCTATACCTAGAAACAGGATATATAACGTTATGATGGAAAGAATATCACAGAGTGAATATGCCTGTGCTGTTATTAAACAGGTAAGAAATAAAAATTTATCGATTTTTAAAAAAAATCAATCTTCTCACTGTTTCTTGAGGAGAGACTATCACTCTATATCAACTTCACTTTTTAGCCAATGAAGCCGCATTTGGCTTCTTTGCCCCTTTGCATATAAAAAGTATAATTGGCTTCTCCATTTGGCTTATGATTGTGAAATCCCTCACTGTAATGCTATATTCTTTCTTCTTCTCATTGGTCAGTATTCTCTCCTAGAATGAATTTGACACAATCATGTGTGGGTTTACTTTCTAGAAAAATGCAGCTTGTTCAAGGCCTGAGTAACTTAAAATTGATGATGTGATAAAAACTTTATGTGGCAATTTTGAGAAGCAGAGATGAACATGTCTGTTGAGTGTGTAGTTCTGTGAATAATTGTTTATAGAATTCCTTTTTGAAATGTTGATTCCTTTGACTATTTTTGCCACACTTCATGCTTAGCAATAGAATTTACATATCATATAAAACTTTAATAGAATGCATTGACATTATTTTAAGCAAAAAATAGAAAGAAAGAAAAAAAGAGAGAAAGAAACAAAATGACTTCAGGTTACAGAGCCCTCCACACCCTCTGAACACATTTAAGACAATGTCACTTCTTCCAGATTGGTCAATGTGACAATGTCTGACCTATAGTTGACTAGATTATTATTAGATATTTAATTTTTCTGCTATTGTGTGTGTTCTAATTGAAACTCTCAAATATACTGCTTCTGAAATGTAGAAATGTGAATTTTATTAGCATATATTAATATTACAAGATAATATATTGGATTGTACCATCTTCCTACCTGTGCATAGCACACTCTGATCACACTCACCCTCCACATAGGCCTCTGTCACAGTCACTGAAGCCTCACTCAAGTCTATTTTTCTCCCTTGTTATTATCATGTCAGTTTTTCTTCATATTTCCTTATATAATACTTGCCATTGCAAATCTTGTTTATTTCTCCTAATATGGCAACTACATTTCCAACATTAGTATGCAAATCAAGTTATTCCATGAGGCTGAATGAATTCAATCCTTCATATATAACACATTGTATCTATTTATTCAATCCATTGATGGGCTTTTGGGCTGATTTTATAACCTGATTAAAGTAACAGTCACTTGATGGACATGGCGGCAAAAATTTCTCCATTGTACATCAACTTTGATTTCTTTAGGTGTATACAGAGGAGTAATGTAGTTGGATCATAGAGAAGTTTTATTTTTATCTTTTTGAGGAAACTACAAACTGATTTCCATAGGTATTATGCCAATTATCATTCTCACCAACACTGAAAAGAGTTCTTTTTATCTCCCTGTATTCTAAGCATTTATTGTTTGTTTCCTTGATGGCAGCATTCCTGACTAGGGTGAGATGGGATTTCTCAGGCAGTTTTGATTTGCATTTCTTTGATGAACACTTATATTGATTACTTTTTAATGCATTTGCTGGACATTTGGACCTGTTTTGAAATATTCAGACCATTGCTCCACTTGTGGATTGAGTTGCTTTCAGTTTTGCTGTTAGTTTTTAATCTCATTGTATATTCTAATGGGTTTTATTCTGTTTCCATTCTGTTGGCTGTCTTTTACTCTATTCATTGTAGCCTTTTTTGTGAAGAAATTATTTAATTTGATGCAGTAACATCCGTCATTTCTTGCTGTTACTGTCTAGTCTATTAAAGGAATGTTGAGAGTCTTATTGCCTGTCGTGATTTCTTCAAAGATGATTTCTGAATCTTTTGCTATCTCCTTAAATTTTGCCTTTCAGCATGTGAAGATTTCCTTTGCCCTGCCTTTCACATCCTTAGTGAAGGTCATGTATAAGAGCCTTATGTGTAGGGAGCTATGTTGAATGGGTTTTACTCACTTTCTTCACAGTGGGTTCACTATTGCTATGGAAGCTCTTGATTATTATATCCTGGTATTTCATTTTGCAAATTAAAAGTGCCTGATAGACATAAGAATTGTTTGGTAGAGTTTGTAAAGCCTTTTAACTATAGAATCATATAACACATGAGAAGACATAATTTTTCTTCCTCTTCTCATGTTGTCCCATATATATATATATTGTCTTGTTGCTCTAAGACTAAGCACAATATAAAACAATAGGGGTGATAGTGTAGACCCTGGTCTCAGTCCAGATTTAAGAAAGAGGAAATCTTCTTAAAACAGCAACAATTGGGAGAGTTCAGTGCTCCCCTTTCCGATTTTAGCACAATATCATAGATTATAAAAGAAAGCCTTAGCAAAGAATCTTTAGGGTTAAATTCTACCATATGTCAACTGGACCTAATAGATATATACAGAACATTCCACCCCACACATAAGGAAGGCCCATTCTTTTCAGCAGCCCATGGAATCTTTCCCAAAATTGATCACATCATAGGTCACCAATCAACTCTTACTAGGTACAAAAAGGAGAGAATTATTTGTATCCTACCTGACTGCCGTGGAATAAAAGTAGAAACCAACAGCAAGAGCACATATAGAAACTACACCAATTCTTAGATGTGAAGAGGATGCTTTAGAATGACCAAGTGGCTCATTGATGAAATAGGAAAGAAATTAAAATTTCTAGACAAAATTAGTGTCAATGGACAGGACATATGCTCCTTTGGAGAACACTTGATACATTCATAAAACTTTTCTTCTATAAGGTTCCCACACACAAAAACCAAGAGAAGTCTCAAATAAACAACCTAATGATGCACTGCAACAGACTAGAAATAACAATAAGTAACTTATCTAAACCATAGTAGATGGCAAGAAATGATAAAAAGTAGGGCAGAAAGAATGAGATAGAGACTAAAAGAATAATATACAGAACCAACCAACAATGAGCTTCTTCTTTCAAAAGCTTTACAAGATTGACAGGACTATGGCCCAATTCATCAAAAAGAAAGAATTAGAACATCTAACTGAATAAAATCTGAAGAGAAATGGAAACGGTATAAGAGATCCCAGTGAAATTCAGATCCTTAGGAAAGAGTGCAATAATTAGCTCCCCAAAGCTGGACAACTTAGATAAATTGTCTAAATTTCTACATATATATGATCTAACTAAAATAATGCAGAACAGACACATAATGAACAATGAGCTTGATGCAGTTATTAAATACATTCTCATAAAGAGAAGCACAGATCATTGTCTCTGTTGAACTATATAAAATTTTAGGGATGTCCCAATAACATTTTTCAAACTCGTTATGAACTGAAAAGTGAAAGGAGCAGTACCAAATTCATCCTATGGAGCCAGTATCATCCTAATGCCAGACTCCGAGAGGTATAATGAAACAGAAAATGATAGGTCTATTTTCCAAGAACGTAAACACAATATTCTTCCCCCAGTGACCCTCCCCACAAATGTAACTCTTGTATATACATAACGGTCATGTTTCAAAAATAAGCAGGCTTAGTCATGCAAGCTAGCACAAGCCTTTAATCCCTTTATTTGGGAGGCAGAGGCCAGTAGATCAATATGAGTTTTATGTCAGCCTGGTCTACATAGTTAGACCCTATCTCAAGAATAACAACATCCTCAGTAACAATAGCGATCAAGCCTAAGTAGATTTCATCCAAGGAATGCAAATCAATAAACACAATTCATCATAAGACTAATCTTAAGGATAGATATCCCAGGATTGTACAGAAAATGTACAAAAGTCATTTGATAAGTTCAAAAGCTTTTCATAAGAGAAATGCCAAAGGAATGAGGAAGAGATAGGCCCTATTCCAAAAACAATAAAGGCTATAAAACAAACATAGTTAATATTATATTAGACAGGGAAAACAGGACAAAATCCATCCCTCTGTCCCTCCCTCCCTCTTTCCTTCCCTCCCTTCATTCCTTTCTTTGTTTCTTTCCCTCCCATACTGTAACCAGCCAGCCCTCATCTGCCATTGCTGGGGCACTCTTTAGTCCTCTCCTCATCCATCAACATCTCTTTGTACTTGTTCACATCTTCATGCACGTGCCACTATGCTCCAATGACTCCAAACTCAATGTTTTCTGACAAGAAAACAACCCATGAAGCTCTCATGGAAATGTTCTCCTTTCTGGAGGTAAGGAGAAGAAGGGAATAGTGACTGGTAAATTAGTCCCAATGCAAACAAAGAATGCAACCAATGTGCAGACAAGGGAAGAAAAGGGAGTTCAGGCAGGGAGTCAGGGTTTGAATTTCGTTGTTGATTTTCTACATCATAATTATTAATCACTTTTTTCATTTCCAAGCCTTAGAGGAACAACACTGATGTTTGAGTTTCCCTTATAAAGTTTAATACCCATTGAAACCATATGGTGTTGTTTGGTGTGCACTAGGGTGGGACTGTGTGCAGGAGCAAGATTAATGCCTCAGAGTCCTCATCAACCTTCCCTACCCCATGACCTACTTCAGATCCAAAGATCTAATGGATGGTATTGGGTCCTGTGTGTGTGTGTGTGTGTGTGTGTGTGTGTGTGTGTGTGTGTGTGTGTTAGAATGCTTTCCCCTGAACCAAACTACTACCATGTTGGAGCATTCAGTTGTGGCCCTTGTTTAAAGATTATCCTGGCTGGGCTTGATTACTGTTTCAATCCCTCACAGAGAGATGGGAGGGATTGAACTCCTTCATCTGACTATTCAGCATTTTCCAACCACCAGTTGTATGCAACTCTGCTCTCACTGTGGGTGATCTTGCTTAGGGACTATTAGGTCAAGGAAGACTAGGGGTGGAGCTCCATCTATGCAGCTATGTGAAAGCTCTCATCCATGCTAGGTAAAGACATTGCAGTGTAGACTTTTCAGGTAGATACACTCACAATCCTCTAAGAAGCCTCTCATCTTTGCTTTGTAAAGAAGTCCAATATGCTCATTGTGTTTTAAGATTCAACTTTGGTGGGTCCATGTTCTGGTTTGTTGGTTGGACATTAGTATGTGTAGATGCTGTTTAAGTGTCCTACTGGGAGGGAATTTTAACAAAGTGTGTGTGTGTGTGTGTGTCACACAAGAGATAGAGAGAGACTATAATATATTGCACATTAAATTTTTTAAAAAGAACCTAAGAGATATGCATGGTACCCCAGAGAAGAGAAATGAAGCAAGATCTTCTGAACAGATGGGGAACACAGCGAGGGGTGGGGTGTAGTGGGAGCTGGGAGGAAGAGAGGGGGATAAGAGGAAGAGAGAGTAGATCATGGGGGAACAGGAAGGTTGAGTGGGGGGTAATATAGGGGGAAGAGGGAATTATAGGTTAGAAGACAGATCAGGCACCAGTGTGACCTCTAGTGATCTAAAGGGATGACACCAACTGGCAAGCTAAGCAATAGTGGAGAGACCACCTCAAATGCCCATTCCTGATAATGAACTTGATGTCCATAACCATGCTGGGCCTTCATCCAGTGACTGATGGAAGCAGAGGCAAACAACCACAGTTAAACACTGAACTGAACCCATGGAACCCAGTGACAGAGAGAGAGGAGCGATGAGCAAATTAGCAAAGAATGGGCTGGCAAAACCAGCAGAGACAGCTGATCTGAACAGGGGAGAGCTCTTGGACCCCAGACTGACAGCTGGGAGGCCAGCATGGGACTGATCCAGACCCCCTGAATGTGAGAGTCAGTGAGGAGGTCTGGGCAACCTATGGGGCCCTGGGCAGTGAATCAGTGTTTATCCCTGGCATACAAACAGACATAGTGTGTCCATAACACAAAGAGGGATGCCCTCTCAGCCTGGACTCATAGGGGAGTGCTTGGACCTGCCCTGAGTGAAATGACAGACTCTAGATATCCCCTGTGTGGAAGGAAATGGCAATAGGGTGGGAGGCTGGGGGGCATGGTGGAGGAATGCGGGAGGAGGGTAGGGAGAGGGAACTGGGATTGACATGTAAAACAAGCTATTTAAAAGTAAAATAATAAAAAATAAAAAGCAAAAAAAAAGTCTTTCAGCATGTAGATCTACTATCAAGTGATTTAATAAAGTATAACACTGACAGACAATTTTGAATGAATAATAGTCTGGAATTTATTAAGTTTCCATACAGTTTTGATAATTTTAATTATCTTTCTCAGTTGTTCAGAGGGTAAGATAAAGATCTGGGCTCAGAAGGTTGTTGCAGGCTGGACTCCATACAGAGAGAAAAGGAGAGTGAGAGGGAATGGACTTGCATTCTGTCAAGGTGATTGAGGCTTCCAAGGGGGTGACAGCCTCAGAGTAAGATAGGAGCTTATGCTCACGTGGCAAGATTTGTGAGACACAAGTAGAGTTGTTTGGGCATTGTTCAGTTGGCAAGTTGATCAGAAGTAGTCCTGGCAGCAGCTGGTCTAACAGCAGCAGGGCTGGAATCACCAGCTGGTCACCTAAGTTGGTGTACAGGAGGGGGTCTAGCAGCAGGTGTTTTCACAGCAGGTTGGGCAGCAGCATGGCTGGCAGCAGCTGGACTCACAGCAGCTAGGTTGGCAGTAGGGTGTGTAGTAGCAGGTGGTCACACATGTTGGCTTGCAGCAGGTGGTCCTGCAGCAGGTGGTTTCACAGCACTTGGGTTGGCAGCATGGCTGGCAGCAGCTGCTCACATAGGTTGGCTTATAGCAGGTGGTCCTGCAGCAGGTGGTTTCACAGCACTTGGGTTGGCAGCATGGCTGGCAGCAGCTGGTCACACAGGTTGGCTTACAGCAAATGGTCCTAGAGCAGGTGGTTTCACAGCAGCTGGGCTGACAGCAGGGCTGGCAGCAGCTGCTCACACAGGTTGGCTTACAGCAGGTGGTCCTGCAGCAGGTGGTATCACAGCAGCTGGGCTGGCAGCAGGGCTGGCAGCAGCTGCTCACATAGGTTGGCTTACAGCAAATGGTCCTACAGCAGGTGGTTTCATTGCAGCTGGGCTGGCAGCAGGGCTGGCAGCAGCTGCTCACACAGGTTGGCTTACAGCAGGTGGTCCTACAGCAGGTAGTTTCACAGCAACTGGGTTTGCAGCATGGCTGGCAGCAGCTGGTCACACAGGTTGGCTTACAGCAGGTGGTCCTGCAGCAGGTGGTCCTACAGCAAGTAGGCTGGCAGCAAGGGGAGCAGCAGGAGTTGGTCATGGTGTCAGGTGTGGTTGGAAGTTTCTCCTTGTTAACAGGTGAGTTTTCTACAATATGGTGAGTTCTTGTGTCCTGGACTTTTATATGTCAGGCCTTTAAGGTTTGAACCAATCAGCAGGGCTCTTCCTTGTTGTTGTTTCCACCATTTTCCATATTCATTTTATGTTTCATAAGGAAGTGCTTCTCAATGCTATGCATCATTGGAAAGTTTGCTCTGATTCTTCTTCCATAATCACTCATAGGAAGTCTTTCAATGAAGAGAAGGCTATGGCACTACCAGTATCTCTGTGTCCTTGGTCATTAGCTTGTCATGGGGTAGCCCTTGCTGTCTTTGGAGAGTGAGAGTATCTGTTTGTCTCCATTTTGTCTCTCCTTTGTAGGCAGACTTTTCATTGGGCTGCCAGCTCACAATAAATAACTTAGAAACTTATTAATCATGAAAGCTTGATCATAGCTGAAGCTTGACTCAAACTAGGTCTTATAGCCTAAATTAACCCATCTCGTTTAAACTACCTGCTGTCACATGCCTCATGGCTTTAATCTCTCCTCCTGTATGTCCTGCTTTCTCTATGTCAGGCTGGCGACAGTGCCTTTCCTCTTTCCTGAGACATCTCAGTCCCCAGAAGTCCTGCCTAACCTCTTCCTGCCTAGCAATTGGCTATTCCATTCTTTGTTAAACCAACCACAGTGATACATATTCACAGAGTGTAAAGGAATATTCAGCAACAGTCCTCAGTTTACAAAGTATCTGCACAATGGCTTTACTTTCATAGTGATGGTATGGTTTGGTATCTGTCCTTTAACACACAAAATCCTCACTTTGGGTTAGCCCAGACATCTGCTTCTATACCACCTTCTCCACCCTTGTGTCTCCAAGGCAGTTGGGATAAAGATATCTGGCTTATTATGTTCCATATCATGCAACAGTAGAGGTCAAATGTGGAAGTGGAAATACGTTAGAGTGAGTAGATATTAAAGTAAGTAAGTGTGTGTGTGTGTGTGTGTGTGTGTGTGTGTGTGTGTGTCTATTGGTCCTGAATTCCCCTTTCCTGATGGGCTTGCCATTGAGATTTCTGCCATATAAGAATTCAACCTAGACAAAACTTAGCACACAGTTAACTGCTGATGGATGGCAGATTCAGTGCTCATAGTTCAGTGCTCTTTCTCTGTCTTTTGTCTTATCCCTTTCACCTGCCTGCCTGTCTTTCTGTCTCAGTATTTCATTTTGCCATCCCTTCTTTATTATCTTCCTTTGTTGCTTTTCTTTGTTTGCAATGATGAATTTTAGATAAGTTGAAATGGTTCCTAATGATAGAAGTATATTTACAATTGGTAAGGTCTACTATACATTTACAAAGATAATAAATATCATTATGGAGTCAGGCGTTGGTGGCGCACGCCTTTAATCCAAGCAATTGGGAAGCAGAGGCAGGCAGATCTCTGTGAGTTCAAGGCCAGCCTGGACTACAGAGCGAGTTCCAGGACAAACTCCAAAACAATACAGAGAAACCCTGTCTCGAGAAACCAAAAATAAAAACAAATATCATTATGATAGAAAGAATATGGCAAGGTGAACATGTTTGTGCTGTTATTAATCAGGTACGAAATAAATATTCATACATTTTAAAAATCACAGCTTCTCATTATTTTCCACTGAGAGACTCTCACTCTATATCAACTTTGATTTTTAGTCATTTGTTTTCTTTGCCTCATTGCAAATATAAGCTATAATTGGCTTCTCCATTTAGCTTATGTTTGCAAATTCTCTCGTTGTAGTGTTTCATTCTTTCTTCTTCTCGTTGGTCAGTATTCTTCCCATGAATGAATTTGACATAACCTATATGTGGGATTTCCTTCTAGAACAATGCAGCTTGTTTGCAGCTTGAGTAACTTAAAATTGATGATGTAATAAAAGCTTTATGTGCCACTTTTGGGAAGTAGTGACGAACATGTCTGTTGAGTGTGTAGTTCTGTGGGTAATTGTTTATAGGATTCCTTTTTGAAATGTTGATTCTTTTGTATGTCCCTAGCCACACTTCTTGCATAGCAATAGAATTTACATATTAAATAAAACCACGATAGAATGCTTCAATATTATTTTAAGCAAAAAGAAAAAAGAAAATAAAGAAAATGACTTCAGGTTACAGAGCCTTCCACACCCTCTGAACATATTCATGAAAATGTAATTTATTAAATGTGTCAATTTGACAAATATCTCACCTATAGTTTACTAGGTTATTCTTAGACAACTAATTTTTCTGATACTGTATGTGTTCTAATTCAAAACCTGTCAAACCTCACATCTACTGCTTCTGAAATGTAGAAATGTGAATTTTATTAGCATGTATTTGTTTTACAGAATAATATATTGGATTGTGCCATCTTCCTGCCTTTGCATAGCACACCTTGATCCACTTACCCTAGACATACACCTCTGTTACAGTCACTGCAGCCTCACTCAGGTTTATTTTTCTCCCTTGTTATGTTTTTTTGTTTTTCTTCATATTTCCAACTCCAATACTTGCCATATCAAGTCTTGTTTATTTCTTCTAATATGGCAACTCCATTTCCAACACTTCCATGCAAATCAAGTTATTCCATGAGGTTGAATGAATTCAATCCTTTATATATTACACACTTTATCTATTCATTAAATCCATTGATGGGCTCTTCGACTGATTTTATACCCTGTTTAAAGTAATAGTCACTTCATGGCCATGGAGGCAAACGTTTCTCCATTTTTATCAACTTTGGTTTCTTTACGTGCACACAAAGTGGTAATGTTGCTGGATCATGAGGCAGTTTTATTTTTATCTTTTTGAGGAAACTGCAAAGTGATTTCCATAGAGATTATGTCAATTAACATTCTCACCAACACTGAAAAGAGTTATTTTTTCTCCCTGTATCCTAAGCAATTTTTGTTTGTTTCCTTGATGGCACCTTTCTGACTGGGGTGAGATGGAATTTCATAGGCAATTGATTTATATTTCTCTAATGGCTACTTCTATTAATTACGTTTCATGAATTTCTGGACATTTGTACCTTTTTTGAAATATTCAGACCATTGCCACAGCTTTGCTGTTAATTTTTAATCTCATTGTATAGCCTGCATATAAATCCTCTGGATGAGTATCTGGGAAGTGGCTGTCTTTTGTGTTTCCATTTTGTTGTCTGTCTTTTACTCTGTTCATTGTTGCCTTTTTTGTGAAGAAGTTATTTAATTTGATGCGGTTACATCTGTCATTTTTTGCTGTTATTGCCTGATATATGGAAGAACTGTTGAAAGTCTTATTGCCTATGCCCATGTCCTGTTGTGTTTTCTTCAATGATGATTTCTGTATCTTTTGATATCTTCTTTAATTTTGTCTTTCAGCATGTTAAAGTTTCCTTTGCCCTGTCTTTCACATCTTTAGCAAAGGTCATTTATAAGAGCCATGATGAATGGGCTTTCCTCACTTCCTTCATAGTGGATTCATTATTGCTATGGAAGCTCTTGTTTATTGTATGTTGGTGTTGCATTTTGCAAATTAAAAGTCCCTGCTAAATGTAAGAGTTTTTGGTAGAGTCTGTGAAGTCTTTTATTTATAGCATCATATAACACTTGAATAGAAATAATTTTGTTTCCTCTTCTCATGTTGTCCCTTGTATATGTACCTGTTGTCTTGTTGCTCTAAGACTAAGCATAATATGTAAAACAATAGGGGTGATAGTGTAGACCCTTGCCTCAGTCCAGATTTAAGAAAGAGGAAACGTTCTTAAAACAGTAAAAATTTGGAGAGTTCAGTGCTCCCCTTTCCGATTTTAGCACAATATCATTGATTACCAGAGTAAACCTCAGCAAAGAAACTTTAGGGTTAAAATCCACCACATGTCAACTGGACCTAATAGATATGTACAGAACATTCCACCCCACACATAAGGAAGGCCCATTCTTTTCAGCAGCCCATGGAATCTTTCCCAAAATTGATCACATCATAGGTCACCAATCAAGCCTTACCAGGTAAAAAAAGCAGAGAATTATTTGTACTTTACCTGACTGCCGTGGAATAAAAGAAGAAACCAAGAGCAAGAGCACATATAGAAACTACACCAATTCTTAGAGGTGAAGAGGATGCTTTAGAATGACCAAGTGGCTCATTGATGAAATAGGAAAGAAATTAAAAATTCTAGACAAAATTAGTGTCAATGGACAGGACATATGCTCCTTTGGAGAACACTTGATACATTCATAAAACTTTTCTTCTATAAGGTTCCCACACACAAAAACCAAGAGAAGTCTCAAATAAACAACCTAATGATGCACTGCAACAGACTAGAAATAACAATAAGTAACTTATCTAAACCATAGTAGATGGCAAGAAATGATAAAAAGTAGGGCAGAAAGAATGAGATAGAGACTAAAAGAATAATATACAGAACCAACCAACAATGAGCTTCTTCTTTCAAAAGCTTTACAAGATTGACAGGACTATGGCCCAGTTCATCAAAAAGAAAGAATTAGAACATCTAACTGAATAAAATCTGAAGAGAAATGGAAACGGTATAAGAGATCCCAGTGAAATTCAGATCCTTAGGAAAGAGTGCAATAATTAGCTCCCCAAAGCTGGACAACTTAGACAAATTGTCTAAATTTCTACATATATATGATCTAACTAAAATAATGCAGAACAGACACATAATGAACAATGAGCTTGATGCATTTATTAAATACATTCTCATAAAGAGAAGCACAGATCATTGTCTCTGTTGAACTATATAAAATTTTAGGGATGTCCCAATAACATTTTTCAAACTCTTTATGAACTGAAAAGTAGAAGGAGCAGTACCAAATTCATCTTGTGGAGCCAGTATCATCCTGATACCAAACTCAGAAGTATAATGAAACAGAAAATGATAGGTCTATTTTCCAGGAACATAAACACAATATTCTTTCCCCAGTGACCCTCCCTGAAAACTTAACTCTTGTATACACTGAAAAGGTCACATATCACGAATAAGCAGGCATAGCCATGCAAGCTGGCACAACCCTTAATCCCTTTATTTGGGAGGCAGAGGCCAGTAGATCAATGTGAGTTTTATGTCAGCCTGGTCTACATAGTTAGACCCTATCTCAAGAATAACAACATGCTCAGTAACAATAACGACCAAGACCAAGTAGATTCATCCAAGGAATGCAAGATTTGCAACAAGCAAATCAATAAATGCAATTTATCATAAAACTAATTTAAAGGATAGAAATACCATGATCATACAGAAAATGTACTAAAGTCATTTGATAAATTCAAAAGCTTTTCGTAATAGAAATCCTGAAGAAATTAGGAAGAGATGGGCCCTATTCCAAAACCAATAAAGACCATAAAACAAACATAGTTGATGTTGTATTAGACAGGGAAAACAGGACTAACTGCTTCTCTTCCTCCCTCCTTCCCTCCAGCTATCACTAGTTGTATGCAACTCTGCTCTCAGTGTGGGGTAATCTTTCTTAGGGGCTACTAGGCCAAGGAAGACTAGGGGTGGAGCTCCATCTATGCAGCTATGTGAAAGCCCTCATCCATGCTAGATAAACACATTGCAGTGTAGACCTTTCAGGTAGATACACTCACAATCCTCTAAGAAGTCTCTCGTGTTTGTTTGGTTTTGTTCCCTCCATATATGTTTTTTATTTAAATTAGAATCATGAATGCTTAACATGTCAATCCAAGCTCCCACTCCCACTCCTCCTCCATTGTCCCTCCACCAGCCCACCCAGCCCCCTCCCGCATCCCCACTTCATTCCCCAGGGAGGGTGAGGCCCTCCTTGGGGAGGATCTTCAAAGTCTGACATTTCATCCAGGGCAGGACCTAGGCCCTTCCCCATGTGTCCAGTCTGAGAGAGCATCCCTCTATTTGGAATGGGCTCCTAAAGGTCATTCATAAACCATGGTAAACACTGATCTACTACTCAAGTCCCCAGTGATTTTTGTGGCCACCTCACTGGCACTACATTCATGGAGTCTGGATCAGTCCCCTGTTGGCCTCTCAGGCATCAGTCTGGGATTCAAGAGCTCCCTCTTATCCGGTCAGCTATATTTGTGGGTTTCACCATCATGGTCTTGACCCCTTGGCTCATCACTCTTCCATCTTTGTCACTAGGTTCCAGGGGTTCAGTTCAGTGTTTAGCTGTGGGTATCTGTCTCTGCTTCCATCAGTCACTGGATGAAGGTTCTAGGATGGCATATAGGGTAGTCATCAACCTTATCATCAAGGAGGGGCTATTAATGTAGTCTCTCCACTATTGCTTAGTTTGCCAGCTGGTGTCATCCTGGAAATCTCACTAGTGTCAGCTCTCTCCTCAAGCCTATAATGACTCTATCTATTATGGTATCTCTCATCCTGCTCTCCTCTATTCTTACCTGGACTCAACCTTCCTGCTCCCCCATGCCTTCTTTTCCCTTCTCTTATCCCCCTCTCTTTTTCCTGGTTCCCTCTCCCATCCCACGATGTTCCCAATCTGCTCAGGAGATTCTCAGGAGTATCATGCATCTCTCTTGGGAACCTCTCTGTTTCCCAGACTCACTGGCACTGGGATTGTCTTTGCTTTGTAAAGAAGTCCAATATACTCATTGTATTTTAGAGTCAACTTTGGTGGAACCCTGTTTTTGGTTTGTTGGTGGGACATTAGCAGGTGTAGATGCAGTTTAAGTCTCCTGCTGTGAGGGAATTTTAACAAAAGTGTGTGTGTGTGTGTGTGTGTGTGTGTTCCATGAGACAGAGAGGGGAAAGAGAGAGAGAGTGAAAGCAACTATAATATATTGCACAATAAGAGTTTTTCAGCATGTGGATCTACTATCATGTGATTTATTAAAGTATAATACTGACAGACAATTCTGAGTGAATAATAATCTAGAATTTATTAAGTTTCCATACAGTTTTGATAATTTTAATTAAAGTGTTTTTCTCAGTTGTTCAGAGAATGAGATAAAGATCTGGGCTCAGAAGGTTGTTGCAGGCTGGACTCCATACAGAGAGAAAAGGAGAGTGAGAGGGAATGGACTTGCATTCTGTCAAGGTGATTGAGGCTTCCAAGGGGGTGACAGCCTCAGAGTAAGATAGGAGCTTATGCTCACGTGGCAAGATTTGTGTGACACAAGTAGAGTTGTTTGGGCATTGTTCAGTTGGCAAGTTGATCAGAAGTAGTCCTGGCAGCAGCTGGTCTAACAGCAGCAGGGCTGGAATCACCAGCTGGTCACCTAAGTTGGTGTACAGGAGGGGGTCTAGCAGCAGGTGTTTTCACAGCAGGTTGGGCAGCAGCATGGCTGGCAGCAGCTGGACTCACAGCAGCTAGGTTGGCAGTAGGGTGTGTAGCAGCAGCTGGTCACACAGGTTGGCTTACAGCAAATGGTCCTACAGCAGGTGGTTTCATTGCAGCTGGGCTGACAGCAGGGCTGGCAGCAGCTGCTCACACATGTTGGCTTACAGCAGGTGGTCCTATAGCAGGTGGTTTCACAGCAGCTGGGCTGGCAACATGGCTGGCAGCAGCTGGTCACACAGGTTGGTTTACAGCAGGTGGTCCTGCAGCAGGTGGTTTCATTGCAGCTGGGATGGCAGCAGCTGCTCACACATGTTGGCTTACAGCAGGTGGTCCTGCAGCAGGTGGTTTCACAGCAACTGGGCTGGGAACATGGCTGGCAGCCGCTGCTCACACAGGTTGGCTTACAGCAGGTGGTCCTACAGCAGGTGGTTTCATAGCAGCTGGGTTGGCAGCAGGGCTGGCAGCAGCTGCTCACACAGGTTGGCTTACAGCAGGTGGTCCTACAGCAGGTAGTTACACAGCAGCTGGGCTGGCAGCAGGGTTGGCAGCAGCTGGTCACACATGTTGGCTTACAGCAGGTGGTCCTGCAGCAGGTGGTTTCACAGCAGCTGGGCTTGCAGCAGGGCTGGCAGCAGCTGCTTACACAGGTTGGCTTACAGCAAATGGTCCTACAGCAGGTGGTTTCATTGCAGCTGGGTTGACAGCAGGGCTGGCAGCAGCTGGTCACATATGTTGGCTTACACCAGGTTGTTTCACAGCAGCTTGGCTGGCAGCATGGCTGGCAGCAGCTGGTCACACAGGTTGGCTTACAGCAGGTGGTCCTGCAGCAGGTGGTCCTACAGCAAGTAGGCTGGCAGCAAGGGGAGCAGCAGGAGTTGGTCATGGTGTCAGGTGTGGTTGGAAGTTTCTCCTTGTTAACAGGTGAGTTTTCTACAATATGGTGAGTTCTTGTGTCCTGGACCTTTTATATGTCAGGCCTTTAAGGTTTGTACCAATCAGCAGGGCTCTTCCTTGTTGTTGTTTCCACCATTTTCCATATTCATTTTATGTTTCATAAGGAAGTGCTTCTCAATGCTATGCATCATTGGAAAGTTTACTCTGATTCTTCTTCCATAATCACTCATAGGAAGTCTTTCAATGAAGAGAAGGCTATGGCACTACCAGTATCTCTGTGTCCTTGGTCATTAGCTTGTCATGGGGTAGCCCTTGCTGTCTTTGGAGAGTGAGAGTATCTGTTTGTCTCCATTTTGTCTCTCCTTTGTAGGCAGACTTTTCATTGGGCTGCCAGCTCACAATAAATAACTTAGAAACTTATTAATCATGAAAGCTTGACCATAGCTGAAGCTTGATTCAAACTAGGTCTTATAGCGTTAATTATCCCATCTCTATTAATCTACCTACTGTCACATGTCTCATGGCTTTTACCTCTCCTCCCTCATGTCCTCCTTTCTCTATGCTGTTCTGGCGACACTGCCTTTCTTCTTTTCTGAGATATCTCAGTCCCCAGAAGTCCTTCCTAACCTCTTCCTGCCTGTTGCATACTTTGTTAAACCAACCACAGTGATACATCCTTATACAGTGTAAAGGAATATTGAGCAACAGTCCTCAGCTTACGAATTATCTGCACAATGGTGTTACATTCACAATGATGGATTGGTGATGCAGCACTACAGGTGAATTGCGGAAGTGGAAATGCATTAGAGTTAGTAGATATCAAAGTATGGGTGTGTGTGTCTATTGAATTCCCTTTTCCTGAAGTGTTCTCCAGGAAGATCATGTTGAGAGTTGTGCCATATAACAATTCAACCTAGACAAAACTTAGCACACTGCTGATGGATGGCAGATTCAGTGCTCATAGTTCAGTGCTCTTTCTCTGTCTTTTGTCTTTTCCCTTTCACCTGCCTGCCTGTCTTTCTGACTCACTATTTCATTTTGCCATCCCTTCTTTATTATCTTCCTTTGTTGCTTTTCTTTGTGTGCAGTGATGGGGTTTAGATAAGCTGAAATGCTTCCTAATGATGCAAATATATTTAGAATTGGTAAGGTCTACTGCACAATTAGAAACAGAATAAACAATATTATGATGGAAAGAATATGTCAAATTGAACGTGTCTGTGCTGTTATTAATCAGGTAAGAAATAAACATTTATCCATTTTTTAAAGTCACAGCTTCTCATTGTTTTTTAAGGAGAGGGTCTCACCCTATATCAGCTTACTTCACTTTTTAACCAATGATGCCACATTTGCCTTCTTTCCCTCTTTGCAAATAAAAACTATAATTGGCTTCTCCAGTTGGCTTATGATTGTGAATTCTCTTGTTGTAATGTTTTATTCTTTCTTCTTTGCATTGGTCAGTATTCTCCCCTTGAATGAATTTCACACAATCTGTGTTGGTTTTCCTTCTAGAAAAATGCAGCTTGTTTGCAGCTTTAGTAACTTAAAATTGATGATGTGATAAAAGCTTTATGTGCCACTTTTGGAAAGCAGAGATGAACATGTCTGCTGAGTGTGTAGTTCTGTGGGTGATTGTTGATAGAATTCCATTTTGAGATGTTGATTTCTTCGTATATCCCTAGCCACACATCATGTGTAGAATAAATTTTTTTTGGTTTTACGAGACAGGGTTTCTCTGTATTGTTTTGGAGGCTGTCGGTCCAGCCCGGCCTCGAACTCACAGAGATCCGCCTGCCTCTGCCTCCTGAGTGCTGGGATTAAAGGCGTGCGCCACCACCGCCCGACTAATTTTTACATATTAAATAAAATCATAATGGAATGTCCTGATATTATTTTAAACAAAAAAGAAAGGAAAGGAATCTCTGGTTTCAGAGCCCTCCACACCCTCTGAACACATTTATGACAATGTCATCTTCTAAATGGGTCAATGTGACAATTGTCTGACCTATAGTTGACTGCATTATTCTTAGACATATAATATTACTGCTACCGTATGTATTCTAATTAAAAATGTACTGCTTCTGAAATGTAAAAATGTGAACTTTATTAGCATATATTTATTTTACAAAATGTTATATTGGATTATACCATCTTCCTACCTGTGTATATAGCACACTGTTCACACTCACCCTGGATATAATGCCCTCTGTTACAGTCACTGCTGACTCACTCAGGTCTATTTTTCTCACCATTTGCATGCAAGTCAAGTTATTCCTGGAGGCTGAATGAATTCAATCCTTTATGTATTACACACTTTATCTATTCATTAAATCCATTGATGGGCTCTTCGACTGATTTTATAACCTGTTTAAAGTAATAGTCACTTGATGGCCATGGAGGCAGACATTTCTCCATTTTTATCAAGTGGTAATATAGCTGGATCATGTGGCAGTTTTATTTTTATCTTTTTGAGGAAACTCCAAACTGATTTCCATAGGGATTATGCCAATTAACATTCTCACCCGCACTGAAAAGAGTTCTTTTTTCTCCCTCTATACTAAGCATGTTTTGTTTGTTTCTTGATGGCACCTTTCTGACTGGGGTGAGATGGAATTTCATAGGTATTTTTTATTTGCATTTTCCCAATGACTACTTATATTATTTTTCTAATGAATTTATGGATATTTGCACTATTTTTGAGATATTCAGACTACTGGCCCTCATATGGATTCGGTTACTTTAATTTTGTTGTTAGTTTTTAAACTTAATGTATATTCTGCGTATGAGTCCTCTGGATGAGTAGCTGGGAATGGGTTGACTTCTGTTTTTCCCTTCTGTTGAATGTCTTTCACTCTGCTCATTGTTTCCTTATTTTGAAGAAGTTATTTAATTTGATGCAGTTGCATCTGTCATTTCTTGGTATTATCGTCTGATCTATTGAAGAGTTGTTGGCAATCTTATTGACTGTTTCCTTGTCCTAAATTGTTTTCTTCTAATTGCTTCAAATTTACAGGTTTTATATAAAGTTCTTTTATTTTAATAATAATAATAACTTTATTATTATTACTTAAGTCTTTCCTTCTTGTTTTTTAACAACAGATCGCATTATGCAGCTCTGACTGGCCTGGATTTCACGCTGTAGACCAGGCTGTCCTTAATGTCATAAAGATTGCCCACGTCCATCTCTTGGATGAGGGGATTAAAGGCTTGTCTCACTGTGCCTGGTTATAATTTCAGACATTTTTTATATAATACTCTGATCATATAATTTCTTCTTCTCTCTCTTGAATCTTCACCGAAACCTTTTTTCTTCCCCCAATCAATGTCACCCTCCAATATTCATTGTGTGTGTGTGTGTGTGTGTGTGTGTGTGTGTGTTTACATCACACTGAGTTTAATTAGGGTTGCTTGCATGAACATGGATAGGCAGTTAAGGTCAACATAACTCTGGTTACACTACTGAAGAAAATTACTCTTTCTCCCCCAGCAGCTATTAACTTCCAACAGTTCTTCAAGGAGGAGAGGGACCTCATGAAACACTCCCCCATCTATGATGGAATGTTAATGGATCCTATCTCTTCCAGAAAGCTGTGTTTCATAGCATTCCTCCCCATCCTCTGGTTCTTAGGTTCCTCCCATCCTGTCTTACAGGATGTTTACTGAGCATTGGAGGGATTATGCGGATATCCTGTTTAGGCCTGGGCATTCCACAACTGCTTGTTTTGAGTTCTCTATCCAGTCATGTTTCTCTGCCATAAACATCATGATCCACTGCAAACAGAAGGTCCTCTGACCAGCACTAATTCATGGGTAAAACTTAAATATTTAGAAGTCAGTTTGACACTCTGTCTATCAAAAACTACCAGTGTAGTTTCTGTTCTAGGGCCTATGAGCTCCGCAGCTATTAGCTTTGGACAAGTATTGTAGTTCCTATCGATCATGAATTTCTTCTTTTGAAAGGACATTCATCCAGTCAAAAAGTGCTTGGTTGTTACCATAATACTCATGCCCTCATCGCACCAATGACCACATCTTTCCTGACTAGTTGGTATTGCAGCTTGCAGGATTTGTAGCTGGATAAGACTATTGATGGTTTTTCTTCCCTGGCAGCTTACATCACCCTGCTGGTACCATGAAGCTAATTAGCTGGAAAGAAACATCCAGTTCAGTTCCAGCTTTTTTTCTCTATATCCTGTAACCAAATCTTATGAATTATTCAGAAGCAGGATCTTGCTGACTTGGTTTGGTTGCAATCAAAAGAAATGCTAATAGTATGTATTGTTTTGGAGACCTGTGGGCTTCTCATAGGGTGATATCACATACCTGGCACGAGGAGTTTTGTTTAATTGACTATAGCTTCTGGGAGCTACACTATCCATGCACGGTACTTCCATTCAGACCCTTCTTATTATATTTGTCACCTATCTTACAAAATAATAAGTCTTCACATAGCTTTTTAGCACACCATCAGTGTTGATTAATCTTCCCTCGACCCTGTCTTATACTCTATTCCCCCATTTTTATCTCCCCTTAAACATTTCCACTGCAAAAGTATACTTGTCTATTTTTATTGGCATGTGTTCTAATGTCCCTTGTCTTTTAAGTCCTTCCCTCATCATTGCCCCTATCTAACTTTCTAGCTGCATTCTAAGCTAAACCCACATATCTAAAAATTCAAAACTCAGATTCACATAGGAGAAAAGCCATGAGTTGAGGCCAGAATAGAGTCTGCTCCATTCTAAGTTGGCATTTGCCTAGAGTGAGAGACAGGGATCTAGAATCAGTCTCCTAAGTTAGGTATCTCAGTTTTTCGGTGCTACCTGTCGATGGGGCTGTGTTGTCCTCTACTATGTGTTACTAGTACCTATATGTGTGTGTTTGTGTTCATGTGTTTGTACACCAGGAGCTGGAGAACAATCTCAGGTGCCATTATCGCCTCCTCCATATAGACCACCCCCAAACAGCACAAGCTATTGTTAGTCCTCTTGG